TGGAGTCATAAGTGATCTTTTTTTTATGGCAACTTCTTTAGCCTAAGTAAGAAACCTATTGGGGGATAGTGTAAAAGGCAGGCTGTGTCTCCACACTTTAACATAAAGTGGGGTCTGTAAAACCTCTAATTCATTTTATTAATGCTTTAGTTATGTCAACATCAAAATATAGACTCAGAAGAAAAGTTATGAGTTGACATTTAGAGACTTCTACTGCTTGATACTACTCACACACCTTGGGCATGTTGCTCAGAGATGAACATCAGCTTGGAAAGGTGGAGGGCCAGCGAAAGAGAGGAAGACCCTCGGCAAGACACATTGACACAGTGACTACAGGATTGGGCTCAAGCGTGTCAGGGATGATGAGGATGACACAGGATGTGACGGGGTTCAGATCTGTTGTTCACAGGGTCACTTCATGGCACCTAGCAACCACAACAACTTCTTCATAAATTCAAACTTATTGCCATCGTCACTAAAGAATTCCTAAGAAGGTTTATAGTAAACTTACTCCTTTTTGTTTTGGTGGTCTATCCAGATATTCAGAAAGAGCTAACAGGTATTCATAGTACTTCATAGATTTTCTTTAAAAAGTCAAACTTAAAAGCAATATATGATAGAGTTATCACAAGAGTCCAGAATGAAGGTTGCATAGTGGAGTGTACTTGGGGTGGGGAGGATTGTATACCAATGAAGGAATTTTATTTTTTTTTTAACTTTCAAAGAGAAGAGTGAGGAAGGTTGGGCAGGGAGAAAAGTGCAACAATATATGAATGGAAATCCAAAAATCTCTGTAAATGTTCATTAAAATGAGTGAATTTTTTTTTAAGTCAAACTTAGAGGGTAAGGATGGTCGAGGGCAGGGGTGGGGAATCATAGGGTTGCACAGCCTGATGGGTAGAGGGAAGGGTGGGTTGAGTAAAGGATATGAGAAAGATTTAGTGTGAAAAATGATGTATACAAACTTAGTAAGCAAACCAGTATAAAATAATTTTTTTTTAAAGTAAAACTTAAGCAGTGCACAGGATGTAGGATTTCTTAGTGGGCCGATTCAACTCAGCTCTTGATTAACTTGTCTTTTTCTGGCAGAAGTAAGGGACCAGTCTCTCTTTCTTCCTCTCTGTTGTTGAGTCAGAACCAACTCAGAACTTCAGCAAGTTTTCTGAGGTACTCAGTCCCAACTGAGACTGTACACTTTTCTTGAAGAGTAGCTGGTAGATTTGAATCACAGAGAGGTGTCACTTTTCGAAAGCCAGATGGACACGTTAGATCTAGATGGACAAGGGCTGTTTGTGCTGTTGAAGGATCAGATCTAACCTATAGTGATCCCATGTGTTACAGAGTAGAATGGTTTCATTTTTTTTCTTCCTCACTCTAATCTTAATGGACGTCGATTAACAGGTGATTTGTTTCTATGGTGCTCCTGAGTTTGAACCATCAAATCTTAGGCTAGCAGTGATGTGCAAACTGTTAACATTTAAATCATTTGCCACTCAATTGATTTTGACTTGTGGCAACACTCTGTTACAACTAGATGTGTTGCATTGTGTGTGTTTTAGATGAAACTACAAAGCAAATTAAATTCTCCTTTCATAAATTTTACATGCATTTTCCATGTCGCTGGTTACAATTTCACACCAGGTCATATTCTCATCACTTCTATTTTCTTTCTTTCTGTAGATCTAACTTCCTTTCCCCTCCTTGCCTTCTCATCTTTGCTTTTGGGTAGGGGCCTGCTGGTCTCACATAGTTAATTACATGAAGAAGCACATTACTCTGGGGGCCTAGTGGTAAGGAGTTGCACTGGCAATCCAAAGCTTGAATCTAACGGTAGCTCCATGGGAGAAAGATGGTCAATCAACATCCAAGCAATGAACTACCCCTGAAAATCTGCTGAAGGGTCAGCTGTGGTTTGGTTCTCACTCAACAACAGCCATCTATTTCATAAGTCAATCTATACTTTTGCTGGAAGATGACTTACAAAAATAGCTTCAATACCATGTTCAATGATTGTGTTAGAGTGACTATCTCAGGGGTTCATCCAGTCCCTATTCATCCAATAGGTCAGACTATTTTTAGGAATTTGAGTTATGTTCTATGCTGTTCATCCATTCTATCTGAGTTTATACGATGTCTCTGGATGTGAACCATCAGTAAGGCTAGCGAGGCATCTTCTATTTTGTCTGATCTCAGGTTAGTAGAAACTGTGTATGATTCATGCAGGGTATTAGTTCTACGGACTTGTTTATACTTTGAACTTTTGAGTCTCTTCATTCCTTTTACTCTATTCATTTAGGGATCAGTAGTTGTGTCTTAGTTGATAGCTTGCAAGCTTTTAAGACCTCACATCTTACTCACAAAACTAGGGTATAGAACATAATCATTGTGAACTATGTTATATCAAGATACAAGTTGTCACCAGAGACTATGGTTTCATACCCTTTTAATCCTGTAAAGTAATCCTATGAATTATTTGGAAATGCCTTGGAAGTGTCTTTAACCATCCCCCTGTGTGGATATGTGAATAATTATGTAGGACATATATACATGTACATGCATAAGCTTACAGACATCTGTGCACATGTATATAAATTTCCCTGTGTATGGATTTCTATACACATATGTAACGATATATATCTATCACATAAAATGAACAGATTACTTGGGAGGCTGGGCTTTATGAGGAGGAATGTGGCATTAGGATTGGAGGAAGAGTCATCAATAACCTACGTTATGCAGATGATACAATCTTGCTTGCTAAAATTGAGACAGACTTGAAGTGCTTGCTGCAGAAGGTCAAAGACTATAGTCTTCAATATGGATTGAAGCTCAACATCAAGAAACAAAGATTCTCACCACAGGGCCAGTTGGAAACACCATAATGGATGAAGAGATTGAGGTTGTTAATAATTACAGCTTGCTTGGTTCTACAATCAACACTCTTGGCACCAGCAGTCAGGAAATCAAAAGATGAATTGCGTTAGGTAAGTCTGCTGTCAGGACTTCTCTGGGGTATTGAAGAGCAACAATGTCAGTGTAGAATCTAAGGTGCATCTGATCTAGACTATAGTCTTCACAATTACTTACTATGAACCAGAGAGCTGGACAATGACCAAGGAAAACAGAAGAATTGATGCTTTTGAGATGTGGTGCTAGAGAAGAGTCTTGAACATAGCATGGACTGCCAAGAAAACAGAGTTTTGTTTTGGAGATTGTGAAACCAAGTTACTTTTTGGAGGCTAGGATTTTGAAGCTTCATCTCACATACTTTGGCCTGTGGCCAATAGAGACCAGTCCTTGGAGAAGGACATCATACTTGGAAAGGTGGAGGGACAGCCAAGAAAGGAAGATCCCAGATGAGATGGACTGATACAATAACTGGGGCAATGGTGGTAGGTGTGTCAGAGTCAGTGAGACTCGCTCAGGACAGGGCAGGCTTCAGAGCTATTATACATATGGTTGTTATGAGTTGTAGGTGACTTGATGGCACCTAACAACAAGATATAAAACACAAGATATATGTTGTTTGATTGTTTTATTTATATTGCCAAATTTTACAAAATTTACCAAAACTCCTTTTTTTTCTCTTAGTGTGCTTATATATCTTTTTCTAATTTTGGTAACTTCACCAACATTTTGCCTTGTCTTCCATATAATTAAAAATAAGTATCTATCGTTATTGATTGCCGTCAAGTCAAGCATGACTCATGGTGACTCTATGAACAAAAGACCTGGAGCCTTTGTATAACTATCGTCATTTCTCAAAGTTCGTAGAGTTTTTCAGAGGCATGTTGTTTAGGAAGTGGATGCCACTCCTTCTTCTAAGTATGTTAGCATATGACTGACTAATTAATTTTCCCCACTTAGATGCCTTCTTTACACATTTCACTTGGAACATTGACTCTTAGATATCACATCTGAGAGGAATGACTCTATTTCTTCTTGTTGAAGGTGGAAAGCAGGAAGGACTATTAAGGTAAAACAATGGTTGACTCCTTTCCTATTGTAACTTCCTTCTCAAGGTTCTTTTACTTCGTCTCTAGGCCAAGGAGATAATGAATAATGATGTCAAACTTTTGATAGTCCCAGAGGCTTTGTTGATTAACTTGTATCTCTTCAATGACACTGAATGAATGTCCTCTTCTTTTTTAGCATCTTAATGGATATGTTACCTATGCAAAATATGACACAGGCTATATATCTGATAGACATAGAGTACATATAATTGACAACTTTTATATTAAAACTTTACATATTTATGAGCAACACTTAAGGCAAATGTAAACAAAATAGAATTTATCCTACTAGGATGGGAGCTAGATGACCACCACAATTAGTAAAAGTAGCACACGCAGAGAGCGAGGGAGAAATGTGGAGCCTGGGTGGCGCATCTGTTAGGGAGTTGCATTACTATCCTGGATGTTGTGCTGCTTTGGCAGTTCGAATCCACCAGAGGCTTTGTGGGAGAAGGATGGGCAATCTCACCGCGTGTGTGCGAATTGCAGCCTCAGAAGTATCTATTAACTAGTAAATTTCTTCTCCACCCCCCACCCCTGGAAGCCATAAAAAATGTTTACGTTCTGCATGTATATTTATTCTTAACTTTCTTATACTTGTGGAGCCATAAAATATGTGTTTGTTTCTGATTGATTTCACTCCACACAATGTCTTTTAGATTCGTGTGTGTGTGTGTGTGTGTGTGTGTGTGTGTGTGTGTGTGTGTATTCCATTGTGGTACAATAGAATAATCATGCAATATAAAGAAGGAAGAGGCCAGAACTGCTGATAAGTAGATTTGCCTCAAACGCATCTATAAAAGAGATCTGAGATAATTTTTCCATCACAGTTCTTATGGAAGGCACAGACTGCTCTATCAATGACTTTAGTCAGTACAATTGTCTAAATGCCTGAGTTAAAAATAGAGTGCTTCATTTTGCTTGTGTGGAATAAAAGTATATTCCTTCTCCTATCTCTCCTCTCCATCCCCACTCCCCCAACAGATGGCCTCAAGCAGGTCCATGGGATGGAACGGAAACCACTCCTCTGTGGCCGTGTTCATCCTCCTGGGTCTCTCAGGTGACAAGGAGCCGCAGCTCATCCTCTTCCCGGTATTCCTAGGAATCTATCTTGTGACTCTCACCTGGAACTTGAGCCTCATCCTCCTGATCAGGATGGACCCCCACCTGCATACACCCATGTATTTCTTTCTCAGTGTACTGTCATTTACAGATGTTTCCCTTTCCTCATCTATCACACCAAGGATGCTTGCAGACTTCTTAAAAGAGGAAAAGACAATTTCCTTCCTTGACTGTGCTACTCAGTATTTTGTTTTTACCTGGATAGGCCTAGCTGAATGCTGCCTCTTGGCTGTCATGGCCTATGACCGCTATGTAGCCATTGGCAAGCCTCTGCAATATTCAGTCATTATGTCCCCTGGCCTCTGTGGGAGGATGGTGGCTGCGGTCTATATGACTACTTTTCTTAGTAGCTTAGCTCAAACAACCTCTTGCTTTAATCTCTACTACTGTGGTCCAAATATTATTCAGCATTTCTTTTGTGACTTTCCTCAGATTATTCCCCTGGCTTGCTCTGATTCCTTCATCAGTGACATAATTCTTCTTCTGGCAGCTACTTTTTTTGTATTTGGCTCTTTTCTAGCTACTCTCTTGTCCTATGGCTTCATCGGAGTTTCCATCTTGAAAATGTCTTCAGGTAAAGCTAGTGTGAAGGCCTTTAATACCTGTGCCTCCCACCTGACTGCGGTGACACTTTTCTTTAGCACCTCCCTCTCTGTGTACTTGCGCCCCAAGTCTAATGACTCCACAAAGCAGGACAAGGTACTTTCAGTGTTCTATGGCATTCTCATCCCTATGTTAAACCCTCTGATTTATAGCCTGAGGAATAAGGAAATCAAGGATGCCATCAAAAGAGCGATAAAGAGAACTAAGTATTAGGAGGTAGATTTAACATCAGGAAATATATATATATATATTTGATCAGGGATCATTATAACCGCAAGAAAAAGGGAGGTGATGAAAACATGTAAACTATCATATATTGGTAACAGGAGTAAGTTGATAGCAAGAGTAAGTGAAAACCCAACTTTGTTCCTGGCCTCATTATAATTTGGAGTCACCAACAAGTCATCAACAAGATCTGTTTGGAACCGTGGCAGTAATGTTAAATGCAGTTTAAAAAAAAACAGGAACATTTCCATGATTTAAATTCAGGTAGATAAAAGTCTAAAATGCATAGTTTTGAGAACAGAAGTATTAATACGTATAGAAATGACAAGAAACCAGAATGCTATGCAGTCTGTTCTGTTCTTTACACATTTTACTCATTTGTCTTTAATGTTTTGAACATCACTAATATTTTAATAAAATGAAATAGGTTAAACACGTGTAAAATTATTAAGTTATAAAGGAGCACTTTATAACTTTGTTCCCAAATAGAGGAGAGAGAGATTTGTCTAGATTTAACTCCAAATGTTCACTTGTCATGCACTTTACTCCTCATGCCTATGCAATATAATGAATTTTGAAAAATATATGGAATATATAAAGGATAAGGAAGGAGGGAATTCTTTTGGCTTCAAGAGTTAGTGAGCTTTCCAGATGCTAGGAAATTATTAAGGTCATGCTTTTAGGAAGAGGTGGATCTGGTGCATGTTCCATAGTAGCTTTTTGGACACTGTATATGATCGTACAAAGTATGACTGTAAAGATGTGTCCAAAGTGACAAGACCTGAGACATATATATCTTAAATTTTCTATGTTTCTATGGCCTTTGTTTTGACAAGAAAATGCTGTAGCTCTCCAAGATTAAAATACTAACTGTATAGTTTTTTAAAAAGGAAACCCTTGGGGCAACCACTGTGGAAGGCGGTATGGCGCTTTCTCAAAAAGTTGCAAATAGAGATACAATTTGACCCAGCAATTCCACTACTGAGAATATACCCCAGAGAGACCATAACTGACATCCAAGCAGATATATGCACACCCATGTTTATTGCGGCTTTGTTCACAATAGCAAGTAGTTGGAAACAACCTAAGTGCTCATCAACAAACAAATGGATAGAGAAGCTGTGGTATAGCCACACAATGGAATACTATGCTGCACTGAAAAACAAGGAACTCAAGCAATATTATTCAAAATGGGTGACTCTGGAGGACATTATGCTGGGTGAAGTATCTCAGAAACAAAAGGACAAATACTGCATAGTGCCACTGTTGTAAAACAGGTCTGACATCAGGGTTGGTGGGAGACTGAGAAAGATGGATTCAATAATATCTACTGCACTGAAACAGATGAGGGAGAAAACTGCTTAAAAGGGATATGTGATTAGGTATTTTTGTCATGACATGAGTCTAGAGCAAAGGCTGCATAGTGGAGTGGAACTGGGGGAGGTTTTGTAAAACAATGAAAGAATTTTTCTTCTACTTTTACAAGAGGGTAGTGTACTAGAGGGAAGGGTTGGGGGGAGAGAAAAGTGCAACAATGAGTGAACGGAAATCCAAAGTCTCTGTAAATTTTTACTGAAATTAATAATAAATGGGAAAAAAGAAACCTTTCTTCCAGACTAGAGTTTGTGGATGCAGCTTCCTGTACTGGGCATTAGCATTAATGCAGCACCTTGTATCTCATATAGTTCTATAATACACATTATTCCACTGGAAGGTTCATAAGTGAAGAATGATTCCTATTTTATTGATGGGATGTTTAAGCACATTGAATTCTTTCATGCTATTCCTAGTGTGTGTCTCAGTGATTACAGCAATAGACTTGACCGTGGCAGAGATTGTGAAGATGGTGTAGGATGTGGCAGGTTTTCAGTGTGTTGTTCTTAGGCTCCTATGAATTGAAGTTGACTCAATGACCCTTAAGAATTATAATATCACAAAATGTGATTTGTGTATCACAAGTGATTCTAACCAAACTATCTTCTTCATTGCTTTACTGCTTCTCTAAATTTTATAACCCTGCTATTATTTCTTTAATACCGTTTTAGGAAATTGTTCTTAGTCAAGTAATTAACCCTTTGCCTCTAACAGTACTCCTTTCCCAATAAAAATGTTAGACTGGAATAGACCACACGAAGAATGAGACTTTGTCTAAGCTTTTTCTTATTTGGGACTGACAGTGTAGGTTAAAATCCAGATATAAGACATAAACTATAAAGATCATGAAAGAAAACTGTGGCAAACTTAGGAGTCCTAATGAACAGCATGAATAGCTCTCAAATATAAAGAAAAATTTCACAATAAACAGAGAGGATAATGTAGATGATCAAAATCTTTTAAAAAAGAAATCTTTGTGTGTATCAAAAGATTTCTTAAAAAAACCTCAAATGAGAACCTATATGCTGGAAAAACTTTGGTAATTACATATTTATTGAGGGACTAATCTTTAAAGTTCACAGAATGTGCTCTTGGCATTCAACAACAACCACCATTAATGTCAAAGGTGAAGAAATAAGAGATATCTTCCAACTTCTCCAGTCTGAAATTTATCAAAAGCACAGCCAAGATGCAAGTTGATAATTACTGGTATTTGTAGTGCAATTATAAATTCCGACCATGGTCTTTCCAGTCACTTGCTATGCATATGGGAGTGGAACAATGAGTGAGGATGACAGCAGAATAAGTGATGCCTTTGAACTATGGTGTTGGAGAAGAGTACTTAATATCCCATGGACTTCCAAAAGAACAAACACGTATGTCTTGGAGAATGTGCAGCTAGAGTGACTTTTGGAGGCAAAAATGATAAAACTTCATCCCACATACTTTGTATATGTTGCTAGGAGAAGCAATTCATCAGAGAGAGACATCATGCTTGAGAAGGTAGAAGGATGGCAAAGGAGAGGATAACTCTCAACCAGATGGATTTACACAGTGACTTTGGCCATGGGCTTAAGTGTGTCAGAGATTGTGAGGATAGCACAAGATAGGACAGGGTTTAGATTTATTGTTCATAAGGTTGCTGTAAGTTCTCAACTCAATGACACCTAACAATAACAACATAATGCAAAGGTTGGAAACAAGAAAAATGATTAGTTGGACAGGAGGATCTTAGTAACGGAAACAAGATTGTATCCATATGATAGAACATTAATTGCTCATATACAAGATCAAGATCAAGATCAAGATCAAGATCAAGATCAAGATCAAGATCAAGCTGAAGGCAATGCAAAGCAAATCCGTGAGATAAAAAGATATAATCATGCATATATACCACCTGAATTTAAAGACTACCTTTTGAATGAATTTGACATATTTTGAATATAATCTTCAAAACCATATGTGTTGTGGGAAGAGATCAAAGACATAATACAAAGAGATAATTCAAAATATAGGAGAAGGGGAAAGGACCAAAATGAGTATCAGAAAAGTTCTAAGATGTAGAGAAGCTATAGAAAAGGGAAGAAAATCGATGAAATAAGAGAGTTGGAGAGATTTCAAAGAGTAATTCAAGAAAACAAAGTGCCTCAATCAAATGGTTTAATACTTGGAGTTTGAAAATTAAAAGAGAAGAACACACAGCATTTTTCAACCTAAAAGATCTGAAGAAAAACATCAACCCTTGAGGTGTAACAGTCAAGAACTCTGCAGGCAAATTTGGTGAGTGGAGGCAAGGGGTAAAAGAAATGGGAAAGATCCAGTGGAGATCTGGAAAGAAAAGGTAATGGTAGACATAGTTCAATGGTGATTAATTTTATAAAACTTAAAGGAGAATTGATGCCTTTGAGCTGTGGTGCTGGAGAAAAGTATTGAATGT